ATGTTATTTCAGGTTATCCCTATTTTCATCTGATAAACTAGATTCTCAAAGGACAGGAAATTCAAGATTCTATCTTCATTCATCAGAAGCCTTAAGAAGAATGGCATTTGGGGCTGGGAAGGTGGCTCAGTGGTAGAGCGCTTGCCTTGCATGCCTGAGGCCCTGGGTTCGATTCCTCAGCACCACATAAGCAAAAAGAAAAAAGCCAGAAGTGGCACTGTGGCTCAAGTGGTAGAGCGCTCGCCTTGAGCTGAAGAGCTGAGGGACAGCGCCCAGGCCCAGAGTTCAGGCCCCATGACCAGACCAAAAAAAAAAAAAGAAGAATGGCATTCTTTTTATACTTTTCTGTAATCTCTCTAATATTTTCCAGGAGATCTTCAGATATGCATTCTTCATATTCCCGATCAGCTTTAGCAATCTGCTCCTCCAGATGTTTTTTCTACAGACCCTACATATGTAGCAACCATCTCTAAAAGACGTTGTAAGTTATTTCCCACTTTGCATCTTTCTTCAGTTGTGGTCTGTACAACTAGTTGGTACTCCCTCTGAACAGCATCTAACTCATTTATAGATTCACTGAGTCCCTCATTAACAGCACTCGAAGGATTCAAGTTCATTAGCACATTTTTCATCCTCTTCCTCTGCTTCCTTAACTTTTTGTTGATAAAGATCATCCACCTTTTGAACTTTTTGTTTTAAAATAATGAAATCTCTCTCTCCCTTTCTCTCTCTCTCTCTCACGTAAGCATTGAAGTTTGATTTCCAAGCCTTGTACTTGTTGGCAGGTACTCTACCATGTGAACCACACTCCTCAGTCCATTTTTAAATCAATCGCTTTAACAATTTAGAGCTTGCAAGGCATCTTTTGGTAAGATAGAGTAAAAAATAAGTCTAAACTGTAGCCCTCAGAATAACAGAAGAAATCGTAATATGTAGAATATATAGACTCAAAAAATCAAACACCCAGGACTGGGAAGGTGGCTCAGTGGCAGGGTGCTTGCTTTGCATGCATGAAGCCCTGGGTTCGATTCCTCAGCACCACATAAGCAGAAAAAGCCGGAAGTGGTGCTATGGCTTAAGTGGTAAGTGTGCTAGCCTTGAGCTGAAGACCTGAGGGACAGCACCCAGGCCCAGCGTTCGGGCCCCATGAGTGACAAAAATAAATAAATAATAGTAATAAATAAAAATTAACCAACCAAAGAACAAATAATCTTATTGACAAACGGGCTAGTGAACTGAATAGACGGTTCTCAAAATAAGTATAGGTGTCAAAGGAATACATGAAAACTATTCAACATCTATTACTAATCAAGGAAATGCAAATCAAAACTATGTTGAAGTTCCATCTCTGCCTAATCAGAATGCCTATTATCAAGAAAAACAAAAATACTAGCAAGGATGTGGGGAAAGATACTGAATACAATGTTGGTAATTCAGTACACCAGTGCAGCCACAATAAAAATCAGTGTGGATGGGGGGGAGGGGGGAGGCTGGGAAGGGATGTGAAGGGTAAACAAAAGGAGGAGGCTGCAATGCTTGGTAAGAAATGTACGCATTATACTGCCCATGTAATTGTAACCCCTCTGTACAGTATGTTCACAAATAAAAAATAAATAAATAAATAAATCAGTGTGGACGTTCCACAAAAGAAATCCTGCATACACAACACCAGAAGAAGTGTAAGTCTGCTTATAATAATAGAGCTATCTGCCCACACGTTTACAGCACTCTTCAAAATAACCAAGTTCTAGAATCAACCACCCAGACAGGATATAGTCTGTAAGACAAAAAGATGGAAGTGGAGCTGTGGATCAAGTGGTAGAGTACCAATCTTGATGGAAAAAAAAAAAAAAAAACAACAAGAAATCAAGGCCCTGAGTACACACACACACACACACACACACACACATGAGACAAGGTGTCTACCCTCCAGCCTGGGCTGCAAGAAATCAAGGCACACACACACACACACACACACACGAGACAAGGTGTCTACCCTCCAGCCTGGGCTGCAAGAAATCAAGGCCCTGAGTGCACATACACACACACACACACATACACAAGACAAGGTGTCTACCCTCCAGCCTGGGCTGCAAGAAATCAAGGCCCTGAGTGCACACACACACACACACACACTCCTCGAAGCCGACAATGTGTCTAAGGTCCAGCCTGGGCTGCAAGAAATCAAGGCCCTGAGTGCACACACACACACACACACACAC